GTTCATGGAATCAAGCCCCACGTTGGGCTCTGTACTCAGCATAGAGTCTGTTTGTGATTCTCTGCCTCTCTCCCTTTCCCTCTGCCCCTCCTGCTCACTCTCTCGCGCGCGCGCGCACACACGCTCTCAAATAAACAAATCTTTAAAAATAAATAAATAAAAATAATTTCCCTTAAAAGCCTCAAAGTATTTCACTCTTCAAAAGTAGCAACTCCTGGGACGCCTGGGTGGCTCAGTTGGTTGGACGACTGCCTTCGGCTCAGGTCATGATCCTGGAGTCCCGGGATCGAGTCCCGCATCGGGCTCCCAGCTCCATGGGGAGTCTGCTTCTCTCTCTGACCTTCTTCTCACTCATGCTCTCTCTCAAATAAATAAATAAAATCTTAAAAAAATAATAAAAATAAAAAATAAAAAAATAACAAAAGTAGCAACTCCTACTATCAATTCCATGACCTTGAACCATGACCTACATCATAAAGAGAGAGACGAATGTGTATTGTTTAGTCTTCTGCATTTTCTAAGTCTCTATAGCATTAACCATTTTCTGGAAAGGCCATGTAAATAATTGAATTGGGCTCTAGCTATATACTTACATATCACTTATACTGGAACAGAAGGACCTGGCCACCTAAACAAGGTCTAGTAATAAATATTTAGGACCTGTCTTCTTACTGTATTCATACTGTCCTCATCAAGAGGGGATCAGACACATTGTCTGATGGTACTATGTGATCTGTTTATTTACTCTGCTTCTTAGAACTTAACATGCTTTAGCTCATTGATTTTCAGAATCGCTGTAAAGTAGGTAATGGTCAGTTTTCTGTATTTTTGTAGCACAAAAAAGAATTGTGTAAGTTTTCTCTATGTATCATATGTGAGGAAGACCTTATGGGAAAGTTGTTTTTGAATATTCTGACATTAAAAACTCATGATTGCACTCAGTATTTTTAATTAAGCTTAAATATGAAAAGTAAATATAACTAGGCTTTTGATTTTATACCAGAACCATAGTAGGAGGTTAGAAGAGATGCTACCAGGGCTCTTGGTTGCTAGATAGGAAACACTGTAAACAGGTTGTTTTACTCAGGAAGATTTTCCTGTTCAAGGACCATCTGGCCAACCCTGCCATAAATCCTAAAGCAACCGTTAAAGTAATTGGGCTAGAAATACATTGCAGGAATGTAGTGTGAGGCCTATAGTTGGCTATCAATAAATGTTTGGAAAATGAATAAATTAATATATTATGAATGAATAAAGGAAAAATGAATTTGTTGGCATTTCAAAGACTAAACTAGAAGATCAGGTACTTTCCTTAATTTTGGAAAGTCCTTGATTAGAAGTTTGATGTGTGCTGAATTTCTAGACCTTGATATTTAACTCTCCAAATAATAATATACTCAATAGAATTATGAAGAATCTTTTAAGATTTGATCAGTTTCTTTCTGCCTCTGAAACACACATACACACACATCTATATTTCAGTGAGATAGATCTAGATGGATGGAGGGATAGATAGGTAATCCATATATGTGTGTAAACAATCAGTGGATCACAGTGTAAAACCTACAGTAAAAGTGTTTGAAAAAAAAAATTGGTGGATCAAGATAATATCTTTTCCCATTCAGCAATCTACAATTTGCTTAAAACTGAAGAGTGCCTAGGCCCAGTAAAAATGGCAGGAGGCAGGCCTTCTGATGATTTACCCTCATCCCTGCCTTGCTGCTATACCTCAATGTGTTTCTTCATCATTTTTGTGCTTGAAATACCATATGTTGTATCAACTTTGGCCCAGTCAAGAAGCTGAAGAATCAAGCAGGTTTGGGGCCAAGAAGTCTCATGCAACTGAAGTAAAAGGTCTTTCAAAAGCATACTGACTCTAAAGATGATCTTCAGTTCAAACCTGGCCACTCTTTGCTCTCACACACAAATACATTGACTAGCAGGATTGTAAGTGATCCTGTCAGCAAACGTGTATCAGTGGTCTTCCAGAACGTCGTATTTATGTTAGCACCCAATGAGACGTTCATAATGCAATGTACATTTTATTATATTTAAATGCCTATGAGTTCTTTATTTCAAAAGCAAGTACCTTTAAACATAGTAATGGCATTTCTCTATATGCAAACCTCTGTACATAAAAAGGTTTACATTTTAAAACAAACATGTTTTTGAGTTTTATCCAAATTCAAAAAAAGCATCTGAAAAATTTAACAGCTGAAAAACACTTTCTCCTCGCTGGGAAAACTTAAACCTTGCTAGGCTTTATGCAACTTAAAAAAAAAAAAAAATCACTTCTGTGCTGAGAACTAGCATGAGAAATCTCAGCATGAAAGGTTGTTGGAATTTTTTTTTTTCTTCATAGAGCTAAAACCAATCGTTGGTTTTAGAGTGATACCACAATATGCATATGCTTTGTCAGGAACAAATAATGATCTAATTTCAGGGCATCCTCACCAAAAATTAGGTGGGGGCGGGGAGGGGGGATGATAAAGGCTACTTAAGCAGCAATCCAGTGCCTGAAAGCAAAGGTTGAGAATATCCTTGACCATCAAGGTCCAGAAAGGCTGCTAACCCTGAGCTGGTTGTTACTGTTTGAAAAACCTGCAGGTGTCTGTTTCGTTACTGTCTCATGCAGTCCTTACTTAGCCAAGAGGATCTCATGAGAAGGTGCTGCTCTGTGATGCTGTCCGGGATTTGTTTTCTCTTTGCTCCAGCCCAGCAACAAATGGTCCGGTACCTGCCGTGATGACTGGCATGCCGTTGCTGAGCAGTGTTTCTAGTCAGAACAAATTGTATGTCTGTGTTTCTAGAAAGCTGAACCACTTTCAAGATAGTATGGAATTGGAAACACGCGTGGACGTGTCCATGCAATAGTATGTTTATCCGGGCCACATGTGTTCAGGCCAATTCAGGCAGATAGCAAACAAGAAAACAAAGTGGGCAGTGCAGACGTAGGAAGTACAGCTTGTTCAGACACGCGCAGCCCATGCTCCCAAGTGTCTACACATGTAGAAGTGACTTTCCAAAGAAGGCCCGCACTCAAGCACAGTCCTCTTAGCACTCCCCTGGGAATGAAGAACGCGATGTGATTTTTTTTTTTTTTTCCGCAGCATATTGGCTACTTTTAGACTGTGATACTTCAGGTAGTGACTCCGGGTACCAGGGATGGAGAGGAGACGACAGCACACCTCTACTATTCGCAGGGTGATTTTTGAGAGAAACAAGTCCTTCCTTGAAGACAGGCTTCGATATTTCAAGACCTCCTCAGAAAAATTTTTCGGCACCTTCTGTGCTCCAAATTGAGGCAGTTTGTATCATGTTTCAATATAACTGAGTAACAGGCTGGCAAATTCCCTGCTTTCTTATTCACCAAAATCCAAAATAGAACTCACAAAAACTCCCTCTTTCCAACCCCCACCCCACAAAAAACACCCCCACGGCGGCCCCCCAGGGAGGAACAGACCAGTAAAAAACAACCAGTAAATAGAGCCAGCCCTGAAAGACAAATCCCCAGCTGTAAACTGTGGCACTTTGCTCAGTACTGTGAGCTTGCTAGAGCTGGCACATTTTTTATAATACAGATGCAGAAATGTGCTGTCTGAGGCGGAGGGGTGGGAGTAGCCCCTTTAGTGTTTCTTGTCTAGAGTATACTGCACAGGAGTAGCCTCCCCCAACCCAGAATAAAAGACTTAATTTGCCATTAGACTTTTTTTTTTAATTACAACCTGTGACTTAATTTTCATCATCTTCGTAGGAAACCACCCTTTTCAGACTTTGACGGCATTATCAAAATTCAGACTCTCCCTCTCTTTGTCTTACACAGACGCACGTTTACAGATGACATATTTAAAGTGAACTGTGTCAACATGGACCACTTGAAAGGTTTTCTAAAGAGCATGTGTATGTGTGTGTTGGGTAGTGAATTGTTTTCTCATGAACGTAAGATAATCAGACCAATGGGAAATCATGGTTCAAAACCAAGATGGACATTAATCTTCCTGGACCGTGAGATTCACGTTCTTGAAAGAGCAGCTAATTTTATGGAGTACCCCTTTTTTCTTCTCTAAAATTATTTTCTAGAATGAAATTTTTAAAACAAATAATACCAATGGAAATGAAAGGAAGGAAAAATGTACTCCTACCACAGATCAGTTAAACTTTCAAAAATGTGGCCAAAATGTTGTCCCAAATTCAAATCTGGCCTCTAAAGGATATAGATTAGAAACACTGAGGTCTGTGCAAAAGGGCCCAAGGTCCAAAGGCCAATTCTAATAGCTCAGGGACAAATTCCAGGGGCTCTGAGTTGTGTTTGACAACAAGCCCTGCCTGTCCCTGTGTCCTTTGGGACAAGTCGATTAATCTTTAAACCTCAATACCCTAAACTATAAAATAATAATAGTAATAGTAATTCCTTCACAGAACCCTTGTGCAGATTAAATGAGATGATTCTTGTGAAGCATTTAGCCCAGGATCCCCTACACAGAACATGCTCCGTGAGGGTAATTCCTCACCCAGCTTATTTTAGCCTGCACACTTTAGTTATTTCTGCCATGTTTCTCAGTTTATATATGATGACTTTTTTATAACCACCACACATACAATGATGCAACCAACATTTTGTCTTTTCAAGGTGATATTCATTACTCACTAACAGCAGACCAGGCACTGTGGAAAGCATTTGATGCACACCATCTCATATAATGCTTATAGCAGTCTTCTAAGTTACCTTTATTATACCCATTTTGCAGATGAGGGAGCTGAAGCTGAGAAGGCATTTGCTGCCTGACACCCGGTTTCATAGCAGAGTCAGACTTTGAACCAGCCTGCTAGTACTAAACTCTAAGAAAATAATTACAAATAAACAGAAACCATTATAAACAAGACGCTTATCAGAGATAAGTATTTTTTTACCTTTTTATTGTAAACATTTCAAACATTTACCCAAGTAGGAAGAATATCATAGTGAACCCTCGTTGAGACCCTCACTCAGCTTCCACAATTTATCAGAACACAGCAAATCTTGCTAGATATATCTATATTATAAAACTGGAAATAAACTATATATTCAATTCTAGGGGGCTGGTTAAATGTATTATGACATATCCACTAGGTAGAATTTTTTGAGCCATTAAAATGTTGATAAAAAGCTTATAATAACCTGGACTTTTTACGTTACATTTTAATTAAAAGGTGATGTACATAATTTACATATTGTATAATCAAAACCACTTATTTTAAATAATAGATTGTGGATCTTAGAAATCTGACTTTTTTTTAATTGTTTTGTCTTACTACTTTCTGACATTTCTGAAATTATATATCGGGGCCTATTTCATTTTTAATGATACCAAAATTATTTCTCCAATATTTAGGAGAATATAGGTGTACTTGTGTGTAAAGAGAGAGATATTTATCTGACTTCACTTTGGAAATCAGCTGATGTAACAGAATATTCCGTATAACCGATAAGTAGAAGTTTATCTCCTCTTAATTACCAAAAGATGTTTTTTACTTTATTAAGTTTTGATATATAGTGTCTTAAATTTATGTGCATATCCAGCTTTCTGATCATATGCTTACCATAACTCAAACATTTTTTAACGACTCAGGGTCATCATTTTTTTAATTTATTTATTTTATTTATCTATCTTTAGGGTCATCGACTGTTTTGTGTGTCTAAACAACTGCTTTGTGTGTCTACTGGTGCTAAGTATAAAAATAACACTGTATATTTGAATATTATTTTGTGGTTTCAAAGCAGTTCCACATGGCATTAACCACTGGTCGTTAGTCTATAAGATTCTTTTCTTCTGTGTTTATTTACCCTCAGACTACTATAATATTTTTAGTCCTCATCTCTTCTTTTTATAGTTTTTATTTATCTTCTTTAGCTATCAAGTTAGTTCTTGTTGTGCAAGCCTCTAAGATCTTCATTCCTTCTCGAATGCACTACTTGTAATCTGGTTTGGACCAGGGAAACAACCAACCAACCTTGTTTAGATTGCATATAAAGCCCTTGCATTCACTCCTTCACTGGACAAATATTTCTGAGCAGTGCACTATGTTTTCAGCAATGGAAAGGACACACAGATAAACAAGACACCAATCCTTCCCTCAGCAAGCTTTAATCTAGCAGCAGAGCTGAGACATGGGCCTACTTTGCTAGCATCCATAGTAGAAGGTGCCAGGCTCTATGAAAGTAGTACAGATAAAGTGTTCCTGGAATTCAGAGAAGGGCTACCTGGGGGATTTACCAGAAGAGCTGATACTGGATTTGGGTCTCGAAAGGCAAGGAGGACTTGAGCACACAAAGATGGGGAAAAAAGAACATTTCTGAAACCATGAGCAATGCCTGGAAGAATCAGAGGGGAAAGATTCTGCAGAGAAGTAGTTGAGTTTAACTAGACCATGTCGTGTGCAGAGGCGAGTAGTGGGAAATAAAGTGGTGAAAGCAGATGAGACCAGTAAGTGAGAGGGCTTGATTAGCTGGCCAAGGAATTTGGACTTTATTCAGTAGACAATGGGGAGCTATTGAAAGTTTTTAGAGTAACATAATCAGAGCTGTGCCTCAGAAAGATTAATCTGGCAAGAGTGAATAAAGTAGATCTGAGTGGGGAGTGACCAGAGGACACAGGTCAGGTAGGAGACAATCAGCAGTCCAGGAAGAGGCAGTGAGGGCCCTAACTAGGGCAGAGGCAGAGGGAGCAAACAGAGCTGGTGAGCTGATTTATGAGACATGGCAGAAAGAGGATTAATCCATCATGTTTGGGGGACATGAGGGAGGAAAGCACTGAAGACATGGCTATGATTTGGAGCCAGCATGGGACCATAAACAGAAGCAGAGGTCTGTGGAGCAGGAGCAGGTATGGGAGAGGAAGATGCGAGTTTAATTTTGAACACACTGAGTGAAGATACTGACTGGGGATCCATGAGAGGTCCTCTGGGCTTTTGGAGACACGAGACTACAGGGCAGCAGAAAGTCAGGCTTGGAGATGGAGATGTTCAGCTATCTCTGTCTCAAAGACAAAGAGGACAAAGAGGCAAGAGGCAGAGCCCATCAGAGAAACTTGAGGGATTTCTGTGTGATTTCCCTTATGCCACTTTGGGCTGTTTTCGGGTCTTTTCACATCCTTCCTCTTCTTAACCAGATTTGGAATGCCACATAAGTGGCTTGCAGATGAAGGAATTATTGCATTATACATCCAGACATACAAAACATATTCTAAAGTAATGAAGTAATTTGCAGTATAGCAATGGGGTCAATTTCACATTAGCCGCAGTCTTTTATCTTCATACATAATATACTCCTGTGTGACCTTAGAGAAGTCACTGTTCCTCTCTGGGTCTCAGATCCCTCGTCAGTTAAATGAAGATCCTCAGTCCCCATAACTGGCGCTAGGCCACCAAAACTGACATTATATCAGAATCATTTGGAGAAGAGAGGGGAGGGAGCCAAGGCTCCGGATCTTATTTTTTAAACCTTCCTCAATGATTGTAACATGCAGCCTGGGTTGGTAACCACTGGGCTCGGCTTCTCAGCTCTTACATTCTCAAGTATTCTCAATATTTAGACCGAATGTGCTTCTTTAGCCACAACTCACAAATAATCCAAAATAACAGATTTACTGTCAAATTCAGTTCATCTATAATAAAATACTCCCCCTCTCCCCTTTAGTTAGGAGTAAAATATAAAGTGTATTTGAAAAGCACTCTATTCAGAAGCCGCCTATGACGTTTTGAAACGTGAAAACTGCGTGTACGGGGAAGACGGAAGGGGAAGAAAACCGAGGAGGATCCGGCGACGCGCAGGCGCAGCGTGCTCTTCCCGGGTCACATCCGGGGATCATCCAAGTACCCAGAATTCAAGGCTGCGGTTGCTCCAGAGCTGGTGTTAATGCTCCGGCTCTGCTTGTTGAAGCGTGTGGTCCTTGTGCTGCTTCGGATTGTACCTGTCAGATTGTATAGAGAAACATTTCTGCGGTACCCATGCAGACTGTCTTAGCCGTCCAGGCTGCTGTAACAAAATACCACAGATTGGGTGGCTTAGGAAAAAAACAGAAATTCATCTCCCACAAGTCGTGGAGGGTGCAGGTCTGAGATCAGGGTGGCACAAGGGCTGGTGATGGTCCTCTTCCGGGCGGAAGACTTCTGTTTTTATCCTCGCGTGGCAGAAGGAGCTGTGTGGCCTCTTGGATAAGAACACGAATCCCATTCAGGAGAGCTCTGCCGTTATGAGCCCCTGCCAGAGGCCTCACTTCCTAACACCATCACACTGTGGATCAGGATTCCATCGTGTGAATCTAGGGGGGACTCAAACAGGCACACCACAGCACCGGCCCAGAACAGGTCTGAAAGAGGATAGAGGAGCTTAATGAGGTTCTAGCGGGGGCCAATGAGCTGTCTCATTAATGAGCTTGTCCTTAACGTATCCCTTTGTTTGGTTTTCATCATACACCTCACAATGTAATTTTTCGTAACCCCATTATTACAGCATTGCCTCAGCATTCATAGGAGTTCCATTCTGAAGTCCTCACAAAATCTAGAGCACGCTGTACTAGGCCATGGAGGCGGGAAGAAGGAGAGCGCTGAGGTATCAATTCTTTCTCCACTTTATATGTTCTTTCTCCCTTCCTCCCTTGGAGCAAACAGTTGGCTGCGCCTGACAGGTTGGACTGGATTAAGCTAGACTGGGAAACAGGTTGGAATTTGGGAATCTGAGAGTTTCCAGCTTCCAAACTAAGTGTGACATCCCATTTGCTCAACAATTATTTATTGAGGAACAGCTATAAGTAGGGCATTCTGCTCAGTATTTACATCAGAAAAAAACAACCAGTTGTGATTTGGATTTCGCACGGGCTGCTACCAAAATTCTAAACATGAGTACAGAGTAGAAGTAATGATAATGACAGTGACATAGATCTTAACAGTATTTGTGCAGAATTATATTTGGTGCCCTCCCTCTCCCCTCGGGAAATCCTTCTCATTTGTATCACTGTCCAGACCCTTCTTCCATGCTTCAGCTCTGGTTATCCTTATCCGTTTCCTTGCCCCAAACTGTGGCTTTGCCACTTTAATTATACTCAGGGGGTCTAGTAACCTCATTAAAGTAGTTTACTCCAAGGTGTGAATGACGTTTGACCCTCTTGGAGAAATCTGTATTTTAAAAAAGAAGCTCGTTAGACAGCCGGGTTTCTTCCCCCCTCCAGTTAATGACATGTGAAAAGAGATGTTTCTGACTCTGTCTCTCAGATACATCCTCTTTGCCTTCTGTCCCCCAACACACGAAGCTCTACTTACATTTGTAAAAGAGAAAAACATAGGCAGTCAGCCAAGCATCCCAATTTATCTTATCTACCACCCCCCCACCTAGTCTCTCTATATTCTCTCTCTCCTCTGCATGTTGCTGTACTTTTAATGTCACGTGAGATCCCCCCTGTATCTGCCCTCATGACCTGCCCTACAGCAGAAGGCTTCAGACCTCCACCATGCTAGACTCCTCGCCTTCATTCCTACTCTGTCCCCACTCTGAATTCTGAGTCGTGCTCCATCTCCTATTTATAATCTCATAACTGTTCTTTAAATTTACCTTGTTAGATCTTGTTCTCCTGCTTTGGGAGATAGTTTAGTAAAATAACTGAAGCTTAAACACTGGAGACAGATGCTCCTCACCAGGCACATGAATATAAGCAAGTTAATTATCATTTCTAAGCCTCTGTTTTCTCATACGTGAAATGGGTATATTGTGAAGATTAGATGTGATACATAGAATCCGCAACATTTTGTTAAGTGTCCAGTTCATGTGGTTACAACTATTAATATGATTTACCATCTCTGCTCCCCTCAACAACTTTGATTTGGATTCCCTCTACTGGTTCTACCTTGGAGGATTCAGTTCTTTAGTGTTCTATACTGGTCAGAACCAGCTGCCTGGCACTTTTTGGCTTTACATACAAAGTAGATGATGAGAGACCTTATTTTCTGAACATAGACAGGACCTAATTTTATAAATATAAGCATATTTGTAGATATAATAAAGGCAGTATTTGAAACTAGGTCTGTCCAGGAAATCACAGACTTACAGCTTCTGTATCTTTTCTTAGACTATGAATTTCATACTCTGGATGGAGATGAATTTCAGAATCACAAGGTAGTGCTAAACATAATTAAGACTGTGACCTCCCTGATAGTCCTTTGTATTAAGAAAGCAAGGTCGATTACACAAAGAAAAACATCTGTATTTCAGGGAGACATTTTTCTTCCCCCAAAAGACATTTTTCTTCCCCCAAATCAGAGACTCTGAAGTCAGATCTGGGGTTGCTTGCCTCCAAACTCCACCATTAAGTGGTGGACAAAATAGATTCCCGACACCCTATCATTAATCTGTTACTGATAAAGAAACTGAGACTCTGATAAGTCAAATAATTTGACCAAGATTAATATATCCATGTTGCAGACATATTATGAAGATTAGAAATTATGTATAAAAGCTTGGCATGTTTTTTGGTCTAAATAAATACACTTCCTGGAAATCTAGAGCCAGGTTCCTCTTCAAGGTGAAAAGGGACTGAAATTATGCCCACGTTCCATATAACCAGGCTCTATATTTAAAAACAAACAAAAATTTAACTTATTAGTGTTTAACAATGGAAATAAACATTTTCCACATTTACATTATTAATCTTAATTTGTCCAATAAATATATTCAGATAGGTTGAATATAAATGAAGTACTTTGCAACATCGACTTCTAAAAAGAAAGTTTTCAAAGGATTCCTGATGTACTTTAGAAGTATAGAAGTATCTTTTGTGTATAAGGGAAACATAGGATGATCTGAGACTGTGTCATAAAAAAGCCATAAAAAATGGTCACTTAACATTTTATGGAGAAATATGGAGGCACTTCTCACGAAGAAGAAAGTGTATTTCAATATATTTAATGCCTAATTTCCAAGTAGAAATATTACTCTTATCTAAATAAATCTTGAACATTTTAGATAAGCTGAGAAATTGTATGCTGAGTGGTTTTTGTTTCTTATTTCTAATGAATCAGTAATTTTGACTTGCGTTCTATATGCCTCTTTAATTTATGGTGAATAAAGTCATACTGATTTTTCAAAAATTAATACACAATCTCAAGTCACAGAGTTTCCAAATTATGATATTTTCAATGGCAAATGAATAACATGCTGTCCGTGCAGTTAGTGAGTTGAGGCAATTTGAACATCATGATAAAAGTGGGAGGGGGGATTACAGGCAGTGTTATAATTAAAGGTCTGTTGATTCTTCAGTTTAAATGCCATTGTTGAAAGATTTTTCACTCAGATGTCAAAGTCTGTGGCCAGCCAAAATTTGGCATGCTAGAACTCAGCCCAGGGAAACATTGTGTTCTACAGATTTAAAAACCAAAATCTGTTAAGAACAGAAATGTTGGGCTTGGGCTGATTTCTCATGAATCAGAACCAGAGCATAGCCAAATACCACCTCCTCTTTACGAAAGGAAGTAGTGCAGGTGGATGTTAATGGGAAATGTTTGTTCAGATGGAAAATGAAGGGAAATTAGCATTAGATGTCATAATACAGAGCACTGGGTTAAAGTTTTGTGTAATTAAAGCATGTTTCCTTGAGAAGTTTGAAACATTTTAGAAGCTTCTAGTTAATGGGAAGGAATATTTACCCCTCTTCCAAGATTTGTGTATCGAGGTTCAGTTTCCCCACATCGCATTCCTTATTACTGGAAAAACTTGAAGCAAAACTTTATTTGCTTAATTCCCTATATACTCCCTATATAGAAAGGTTTTCCAAACACCATGTTTCCCTTTCTTTAATTTGAAGGTTATAAACCAGTGGCCAGTGAGCTGTGTCTAGCTTGCCCCATAGACTGGGGGTCAGGGTTGGGAGGGGAACCAAGTATCTTAGAATAATTTGAGAGTTTGAGCCAAACTTTTAAAGATCAATAGATCTTACCAAAAAATCAAGCTTTTTTCAACTTCTCCTAATAATTTGGAGATCTGACAATATTAGATCTGCATTCTTTCATAACACCAGTATCTGGACCCGGGCGGGGGCTGCTCCCTGTGGACAAGCCATGGCCTTTCCAGTTAGACAAAGTCCCTATCACCCCATATTTTATGCCAGACTCACTTCACTCGTTTACTCTATCACCCTGGCTCCTGGAAGCATTTGACTTTTCTTTCTTCACTTATGGCAGATGTATTAAGCAAGTTCCTTGCTTTCTTTGCCTGTTGTATTAAGATTTAAAGCTTCCAAAAATTTCTTTCCTATAAATAGTAGCATTGCAAATGCTATGCACAATGGTAATCAACAAAACATTATTGAAAATGATAAAAATTGGAATGTAACCAAAATGTCCAAAATTAAGGAATTGCTTAAATATATGTTGATGTATTTGTAGGAAGGAATACTATGCAGGACTTAAAAATATATGTCTTAAAAGAATGCAGGTTACAAAACAATGTATACAGCAAGATTCCTATTTTGTAGGAAAAAATTCCTACAAAATTCCTATAAAAGATTCCTATTTTGTAGGAAAAAATTTTGCATGTAAGAAAAAGTTTAAAGCAATATCCCAAGGTAGTATTAGAAAAATATATACATAAGCAAAATATATGCAGATAAGCTAATAAATAAGTTCCAGGGGTAGCTTTCATAGATTACTCTCCCCAAGCCTTCCTTATTCCCTTTTGACCTAACAGTTGGAACATTATATGGAGTTATTTTTCAATTTTCTTTGTAAAGCTGATTTTTTTTTTTTTTTTGCCTTTATACATTAGGGGATACAATCAAGAACAAGATTTCCATAGTTGTTTTAAATACTTGAAAAATATTCCTGCTTGGAACACCTCAGTGGCTCAGTCGGTTAAGCATCTGCCTTGGCTCAGGTCATGATCCCAGGGCCCTGGGATCGAGGCCCACAGATCGAGTCCCACATCGGGCTCTTTGCTCAGAGTAGAGCCTGCTTCTCTCTCTGTCCCTTCCCCCATTCATGTTCATGCTCGCTCTCTTTCTCCCTCTCTCTCTGACAAATAAATAAATAAAATCTTTAAAGAAAAGAAAAATATTCCTGCTTGACCACTATACTAGACTTATCATCATGGTAAAGCAAGAGAACCAATTCCTGTGTTGGCCTGGAGTGGCTTTGTTTTTCTATAGCACCTTTTGCTAATACCAAAAGTTACTCAAAAATTTTAAAAAGCATCTTGGAACAAAAAAAGTACCATAAATATGCACTTAATGACATGAACATAAAAACTCTTAGTGGGCTGGAACTGAAACTGATCATCACAAAGGCATCAATTTTGTCCCATTTGACCACTCATAGGAAGCAAAGC